GGGGGGGTCGGCAGCTTTTCAACGGGTAGCCCGTAAGCCGATCCCTGGATAGACGCATCTCTAGACGTTGGTCAATTTCGGAACAGGCTTCTTTTTTTCTCGGAAGATGTGATGAGAAAAGCGGCCGAGATGGCAGTGTCACGTCCAACCTGGTTCTGATGCTGTGGGCACATCACATGCTTGGAAGCCAGCAACGGACGTTACTTGCACCCGGGAGGGATCCAATCTAGAATCGCCCGTCATCGGGAAAGAAAGGCAACAGGCTGTCGGATGGCCGGGGTAGACGACTCGCGAGAGAGATGGAATTTCATGAGACGGGGGGAGTACTCACGTCTTGCACGCGCCTTACCGGTTAGAGCTTGTTCCATGAGAGAGGACGGAGCGTTGTGGAGTGTTGCGGCCCTTTTTTTTTTGTGCTCGGCGGTGTTTTATGAATAGATTCATGGTCCATGCCCCTTCGGTTGGCGGTGCGTCTTGTTATTTGCGACCGGGGACGTCGGGAAATTCGTTTTTCGTTTGGGTAAGTTTTGATCAGATTTTTTTTTCGTTTCTTTCCATGTTTCAGTGTGTCTCATCGTGTTTCTTGACCTGCCGTCGAGCACCCCAGGCGCACCAACCACTACCGTTCATCAGACGTAAGTGTAATATAGTCGCAACTATTTTTTGAGCAAGAAAAACATGATATTGTCGCAATTTATTTTGAGCAAGAAAAAAATGGTAACGGTACTTTACGTCGACATTGGGCACACACCATTACGTGTGCGTGTTTTTCTCAAAACAGTCCCGCACCTGTTGCGCCCCATCCATAGTTCAAAGCAACATGTGCTGTACGCGCGCTGGGGGCGGGCTATGCCCTCTAGGTACTACAAGCGGAAGGGGGCGGGGGTCCACTGCAGTGCGTACGACGCACAACGACACCTGGTTGAGATCGTCTCTTCCAAACCAAACGGCAACACACGCCGCATTGTAAAAATTAATGTCAGGGCAAGTTTAGGCGGTCAAGAGGAGTCTGTTCGATATCTAGTTAATCGTGCGGTATGTATCGTGCGTCGGAGAGCCGGACTACGTGCCACCTCGGGCAAGATGTCCGTGACTCCCTCCTACAGTATCGCATCGATGCTAGCTCTCACTTAAGACTACTTCCATTATTTCCTGTGGGGTGACGGCCTCCAAAACATGACGGAGGATGGTCTGCTCGTCTGAGAAATGGAACTCCCCTCGGAAGGATTTCCCTTCCAGGAACAGGGGCATCCAGTGCTCGTCGTCGGCCCACATTTCCTGCGAAATACGACGTGGAAACAAAGACAGGGCGAAAAAGAACATGTTACATATATAGAGAACGGAAATATAGCGCGCCATCCACTGTCATTCTGTACACTGTACGGTATCATTGGTACGTCGATGTTCGAGTGCGCCGCCGTGGGCATAGCTTCTTCCGTCCAAACGCTACCACAACATGCCCGCCGTGCTCTTCGCGTACGGCTAGGGATTACGAGTTCACCAAAATAGTCCACGATAAGTGAAACTTCATGTCGCGGCGCCCGTCGTGAGATTCTTCACCTTTAGGGGTAGATCTCTGATTTTGAACCACCGTGGTCGCATCTCCTCCGACTCCTCGGGTTCCCCTTCGTACGAAACCGCCTCGTAGACGTGAACTCTCTGTCAGAAGAAACAAAAAAACACCAAAAGAAAGTTGTGTGACGTAGGTTGCTACGGACATGATATATAGAACAACCACGATGTTGCCTATGAGCGTAACGGGTGTACGTTTTCAACAATGGAACGTGCCGGTGCATGTACTATATGTGCTGCCCTCCTTCCCAAGGTATGCACTATTCAATCGTGAGAGCAGGGCCTCCCATTCACGGGTTTTATAGATCAATGGATGCCTTGCGAATTCCTCAGGTGGTCGTTGCTAAATGAATCAAAGCTTTCCTGTGTACGAACGTGTTGGTTGAGGATGACGCTCCGTGGGCCCCCTGAAAACCTACGCCATCTATCAACAAAAGTAGTCCTCGGTACCAGTTTTTTTGACGGACACAAAACGGGACGGTTTGCAAAATGACGGTAGTTTTTTGGCGGTTTGACGGTACTTCGTTTTTTGACGGTACCACTTTTGGCGGTTGACGGTACCGCCCAATTTGCCGGTACTTTTTCGGCGATTTTGCAAAATGACGGTACTTTTTTTACGGTTGGCGGTACTTCGTTTTTTTTACGGTACTTTTTTGACGGTACCGCAGTATGACGGTATTTTTTTGACGGTACCGCAATATGACGGTACCACTTTTGGCGGTTGACGGTACTCCGTTATTTGACGGTACCTGTTCGGCGGTACTGCAAAATGACGGTAATGACGGTGCTTTTGGCGGTTGACGGTATTTCCTTCAAAGACCACGCCATCGAGATATGATCAGATCGTCAAATTGAGAAACTGAAAAACTGAGCAGCCACACGGAAACATGCAACACGAAAAGACAACAGACGGACAGATCGATGCGATCGAAACCAGGAACAACATGCCAAGACGACAAGGCGTACTCTGATACTCTCGAAGAAAAAAGAAAACAAGAAAACCAGTCAACAAGAAAAGAAAAACAGAAAAAAGCAGAAAAGTACGGGTAGTTTTTCGCTCACGCTATGGATTCATTGCTAATCTATCTTAGACTTATTTCTATAGATAGAGATGTTGTGATATTATGAAAAAATAAAAAATGTGACTTGCACAGTTTTGCCGTTGCCAGCGTCGACCGAGGCTTGAGTCTCCGGTGGGCTTTGCAATACTGGCACGCTCTCAGCCACCGGTTCACTTGCATTCCCACCCAACGAATCGCCAGCAGCACCAGCACCCTCGACACTAGTGCTGTTACAAACAGTACTGCCGGATTTCCCCTGTACAGCTGCCATCTTTCTGGTCCTGCTGGACCGCACGCAGTCTGGGATCGCGTGTGTGCGTGGATGGCTGCAGGCCGCGGTCTTGCGACCATCAACGCCAAAGGCCACAAAGCAGAAAACAGGTTCTACCGAAAAGCAACAAACCAGCTCGATAAAACCAAACGATGTCAAACAAAGAAAAAATAAAAAGCAGAAAAACAAGCAGAAAAAAAAGACAAAAAAACACAGGATGCCGGAGTTGAACTGCAGTTCTCTCGACACGTCAACAAATAAAAAAATGACCAGCAAATGATGCTGGCTGACTTTTCTCGATACTTCTTGACGGTATCGCAGTATAACGGTACTTTTTTGGCGGTTGACGGTACTTCGTCATTATTACGGTACATATTTTTTTCACGGTACCGCAGTATGACGGTTCTTTTTTTGACGGTACCGCAATATGACGGTACCACTTTTGGCGGTTGACGGTACTCCATTATTTGACGGTGCATTTTCGGCGGTTGTGCAAAATGACGGTACTTCTTTGGCGGTTGACGGTACTTCGTTTTTTTTACGGCACCACTTTTGGCGGTTCACGGTATTGCGAAATATGACGGTATTCCCGCGGAGTACCGGGACCGACCTACACGACGGGAAAAAAACCTCGGAAAATTTCCCGAGGACTACCCTGGAAAAAAATATTGTACCTGTTCCGCTGTTCGCTTCTGTTGTTGTTGTATATCGCTGATCAATGCAGCAAGGAGAACCGTGGGTGGGAATAACGGCTACGCATGTCTGTAGAAAAAGGAACTGTGGGCAAGCGGACAAAGTTAGTACATGTTGCACATACCATGACAGAAAGACAATATTATCAGAGGAGCATACATGTTGCGCCTATCGGCGCACCGCGACGAAGAAACACTCGTGATGCCCACATTTCATCAACCGCACCATCTTTGACCAATTTTGGCACGTGTGGGACGTAGAGCCGGTTGCTGGGTGTGCCTACTTCTCGCTTGATGCCGAAAGATTCGGACGACGAGCCGCGGCGAAGCGGCGGGCGGCACCCAAGAGTTAACAGGGAGGGCGTGGCGGAAGGAATGACAAGTCTTCACATACTGCACTCGAATCGAACTACAACTTCTGCTCGACACAAAAAGAAAATGAGGAAAAAAGTCGAGATAGATTATATGTATATATAGAGAGAATCTTACCATGACCGAGTGGTAGGAGGGCACATGAAAAATCAGCCTCCCTCGCAACGAAAGCTCCCGCGCGGTCACGCCAGCTTCCTCCATCAACTCCCGTTTCGCCGCCTCCTCCACGGATTCCCCGCGCTCCACCTTACCCCCAAAACCTGAGCTTAGGGGCACCGCAGACGAGACGGGTATGCCCCAGGGTAAGCGCAACGGTCGAGCGGTTTGCCGAAAAGCAGCCGTCCGTGACAGCGTTTTCGGAGCTTGGTCTGCGGCTGATCCTTCGCCAGGCGGCTTCTTGCGCGCGCGCGCGTTTGGTGTTCGAGCTCAAGCTTGGACGGGAGGGGGTACTGCTGCTGTGTCGCTCTGAAAACACCGCGCCCTTGTATGCCTTTCCTCCGTGCATAACTGTCGAAAGCAGCCTCGAAAAAACTTTCGGAGTTGATCTTGAAAGCGTGGCTTCAATCACAACCGTTACCCAGACGAAAATTTCAAGGTGACGTACGTACGCGTCTGCGCTAAAGACCTCAACGACACAGGGTCGCTATCCCTAAGAATAATCCCACTGCAGGCACTATTGGGTGGAAGCATCCGTACACCCGCGGCATAACAGTAGCATACAGTAGTGATACCTGCACAAGGTCGCATCAGTAAGGCCGATCGCCCTATGTCCGGAAAAATCTCTTTGCGGCCTTATGCCGGAGTCACTACCGTACCTCGAGTGAAAAATTTCCTCGTCGGCATGAAGTCGCTCTCAATAAATGCGCATCACGACACCTGAAATTTGTATTACGCGCACGTCCTACGTCGATGTAACACGAGCACGGCCCTATTTTAAAAAGTCTTCAAACGCTAGCTCGTTCTCACTGCTGTTCCAACTTTTCCCACGCCAAAACCACTTGAACGTCACGCCCAAATTGTGGTACGGCTCTCTCTCAACCAACTCTCCATCGCTCGCTGGCCCTCACCGTTCCACTTTCCCTCGCCAAAGCCTCGCTTCTTCATGCCCAAGAGTATCTCGTTGGCATCATCGTTGCTATCGCCGCTGCTGCTACCGCCACCACCACCTTCGGGAATGAAGTACCCACACAAAGTTGGAACCAACAGAGTTACGGAGGCATTAATCGCATTGTCGACGAAAAATATACCGCCGCCACTACATATCATGCCGGCCCGATCGAAGAGCGATGTTTGTCAGGGCGGCTGCTGCTGGTGTTGTTGCAAGGCAACAGACGGGCACTGTGACAGGGAACATCTCTCAGCAACGACAAACCGGAGGCTTGGATACACGGCAACATGCACACGATGTTGCCGGGGGCAAAACACCATTTTCGAGAAAAACGTACCGCTATCTTCTGGACCTACATCAATCTCCCTATTGAATCGTAATATCCACCGGTCTTCCAGAAACAACTTTTCCCTTGCGCTTAAATGTCTACCTCAACACCCCCTATCCCTAACCTTCAGAGCCGGTATCCGAAATCCGCCTTGTTCTCCTGCACAACACCAGTGTAAGATCTTTGACGCTCTTCTTGGTGTCGCTCTCCGTTGCCGCTGGTGACACCGACGCCATCGCTCCCGCTGTCGGTTTCCAATCGAACAATCAACCAAGCAGCAGCAGCAGCAGCAGCAGCAGCAGCAGCAGGAGGAGGACGTAGCTGTGATGTTTGTGTTTGTGTTGTGGTATCGTTCCATCTGTCCTGGCGCCAGGTTACGGCTGGATTTACGTCTGGGCACCAATGAAACCGTGCGCGTCATTGTTGCGGGTATGGCCCATGTACTGGAGCAACCGAACAGTGTACGAGCTGCATACGAGCGTCGTATGAGCGCTACAAGGGTGTTTTGAATTTCTTTGGATGTATGAACATTTGGCTGTGTTGTTGGGTATTGAAGGTAGCCTGAAGGAACATCAGATCACCAGCTCCGCCCTTGGAGTCTACGAGTGAGCGCTGAGCGGACCTGGTCTAACAAGTCTACAAGCAAGAGGTGACACAGCACCTGCTGTGAGTATCGGACCTGCTCCCTTCTTTCCCTTTTGTTCTTTGTTCCTCCACAACACCCACGATGTAATTTGCAGTTGCCAGGCATGCACACACGCGAGAGGTTGGACACATGTTTACTCGTCGAGTGCCGCTCTTCATTATATATGGAAAACCCTACAATCCTGTTCTTGGTACGGAGACCAACAGCACGGAGTAGATCTACTGGGGTAGTCATTTTTGGCACGAAGCGGCCGCCCACCCCACGGAGAACGAGAGCGAGAAAATTCATATCTTGGAGACATGACACAATGTCCCATTCCAAAACAATAACAACATACGTTATTCCCCATGCAGGTGTGGCAGACTACACACCAAGGCCGCGCATACGTGCAGCAATGGATCCTCTGGGAGGTCGCGCTCACCCGGCATCCTCCCAACATCCGGATTTCGAAATTTTGCAAAAAAACACAAATCCACATTATGTGCCCGTTGTTCGTACCAAGTACATTTTCTAACGTGCACTGCTGTAGAGTTGTTTCGAACACTTGTGATACGAAATCCTCGTTCCAGTGGAACACTACGCGCGGAGTCGTTACTATACGCGCCACCACCATGCACGCGGTGCGTGCTCACTTTGGTGGATGTGCTTTTCCATGCCGCAAAAAAGACGGCCTGTAGCATGCAACAAGACCGACCCTCCACGCCTTCTTCACCTCGTTCACGGTGCCGTTTCAACTCGCAAAGCTGCTTGGACGCGAGAAACTGCACTGAGAACGAGAGTGCAGATGGTAGCAGAACAACCACGAGACAGCAGCAGGAAGCTAGATGCATATGAACGCAACACTTCCAGAAGTTGACCGCAAGGTCACCTTGTACCACACATGCGGCGCAACTACTGGACTGTTTGGGCGGTCCGCCATTTGCAATGTTTGAACTAGTACGATGCCTACCCGAAGCTTCTCCCAACATGTGCCCCCCTGCTCTTGCACGCGGAGCGTCACTGTTTGCTCCCCAGGGGTGTTACTAGCAGGCGCAGAAAAGCAGCAAGCCATGGCGAAGGCTGCCACGAAGACGACGCCCGCGAAGAAAAATGTGCCCAAGAAAGATCTCGCTGCCAATCCCGCGTTCAAGTGGCAGATGGGGGGGCTGATCGCGGGCATCATCGTGGCTCTCGCTTCGACGACTGAACCAGGGAGACAGGTGAGCCAAGTAGCGTGCGTACCGACCACTGCTCCTCTCCCCTCTTGATCTGCCGGGTGCGCTGTCCGCCAGGAACGGCAGAGACCACACGTCTGGTATCATCATGGTTCACGCGACGATAGAGCAGGCTCGCTTTGAATCAAGTACGGACGGTGGCTCTCTGTCTCATGCAGCCGTGCGACATACCCAGAACAAGAACCGGAGCAACTTGCGAGCGGGCTAATACGAAGTGGAGGAGAACACAGCAGACCCTTCACCAGGATTCTTGTGCCATTGACAACACACCTTGACATCCAGCCCAACCGTGTTCGGTAATGTTGCCCTCGCCATCACCAACACGCGATTAACTCAAGTCATTGCAATGCCTTGGATTGGCTGGCCCAATCGTTGCTTGGTTTGTGTGATACATCGGCGAGTACCTGTAGTTGGAAAACTGCACATATTCTACGGGTGTTATAGCGGCGGTAATTAGGCCGCTTTCGTTGCCGCTGCATTTACCTCCTGGACCCTTGTTTCGGTCAATGCTTCGTGCAGCTTAACCGCGTGTAAGGCCTTCGTGCACAAACCGGAGCAGCTGTTTGCGAATGGGGGGGTTCAGGTTAGGCTAGCGCTACAGAGTACCAAGATGCGGTATACCCGACGGTCCGTCCTCAGTGATCACACTCACTTCACTGACGCAATCTATGAGATGGATGTCTCCAGGTTCGCGTGTGAACAAGTTCCCTTGGGGATGTGTGGTGTGGATGCACACCGGTTCAACCTCTTGTGGGAGAGACTGAAGAGTGCGAATAGTTGTGTTGTGAGCCAGGGAAGAGCGAGCCCGCTGCAGCAGGGTTCAGCGTCAATCATGCACTGACTCTATCTGTGGCAACACCCCGACGGTAGATGTCCGACAGGCCATCTGACGTCAAGATCTATGACAGTCTGAGGTAACATTCACATGTGGCAGTTTTCCTACTCATAATTGCTTTGTGGAGTGTGGACATATGAGTGACCAACGAGCATGGGCCGTCGACCGAGTGTGCTACGCGAAATGCAATTGCTGCAGTCGTGGGGGCAGGGGTGGGGTGGGGGCACTGCTGGCTGTGCCACCATCATGCGGCCCCCTTCGCGACCAGTGCGCCCGCGCATGACTCGCGCGCCGCCGCTCCTGTTGTACTTGCGCTGATGGTTTCCTTGGTCCCATTGAACATGACCCGCACGATGCTGCTCTCCGCGCGTAGGCGCTGAGGTCGGTTGGTCTGGAGGATGTGGTTCTCCACTACACGAGAGGAAAGTCACGCTCGCCCAAAGGTATGTCGTCGCTCACTGCTGTACTTGAGGGCATCCCAGGATTTGTTGGTGTCCCAAGAGCTTGGATTACGGTACGGTACTTGCCCAGTTTTTACCACCGGGGTTTTTGTTCGGCGCGCCAAGGTTGATTTCAAACCAGGCCGTATATACCACGACACGAATCACCATGCGCACTACAGTAGAGGTCCCTGTTTAATGCCGGGGTGTGCACAAAACTTTCACCGGCACTATACGGGGCACCGGCACTATTCAAAGTACAGAACGACTTGATGTTCCAGTGTGTACGAGCCGAAAACACCGCCACTATACCGGCAACCGGCACTATTCAACCGGCACTAAACAGGGACCTCTACTGCATTTTGCCCAAACTCCAAAGTCTTTTGTCTCTGGCCGTGAGCACCATCACCACGCCTCGTCGCGTTCTTGGCCTCATTGCCACCTACGGTCGTGGACCCTCTGTGAGGGAGAGGTACCTCGATAGGGCGGTTGCCCGCTATTACTTCGGGTGAGTTATCTCGTCTCTTGGCACCGATGGAATCGGACTGTGTATGAAGTAGAAGTGTTTTTTTTTTTTCATTTATGACGGGTGCTGACGTCCGGGGGGGGGGGGGGGGG